AGCGCAGCATTCAAATGTCGCATAACATCTTAATCATCCGTGACCACGAAAACTGTAAAGAATACGAAGCATCAGAAATGATATAATGACAAGAAAAAAAACGCAAGATTAAACCGTAAAAATAGTTTTAATTACATCATAATAATATGGTAGATTATTGCCTTAGAAGGGAGATGAGCATGTGGCCCTCCCAGCCCTCTGAGGACAGGTGGGCGAGCAAGTACTCAGCCAGGAGGGGTGGGATTTGCTAACAGCTATTCGAGCGCGTCCAAAGGAGACCTAACAACTCCAGAGCAACTGCTTCGCGAATGAATCTACCAGCGGATCGGAATCGCGACCCGCTAAGAAAATTCGGCGAGAAACTCATCGGGCTGATGCATGGGTTAGGTTGCACGTCGAACTCTTTATCGAGCTCGACGAATACCTACGGTTACCGCTAGACAAACTGCAACCCTATTCAATTTACACGTTTTTTTCAAGTTTTAAGTGCACATTGACTCTGACCAACGTATTAAGCGCGTTCAGCGTCTGATGATGATGATTCATAAAATGCACTTACTGTTCAATTGAAAAAGGTATATTCTTATTTGCAACTTTTCCACGGACACGCTGACAAATTAAACTTTTTAAATTTTCATTTCGCATTAAGCAATTTTACGTCATGAATTTAAGAAACAAACGATTAATGATAATACAGATGGTTGCCGGGATTGCCTGTCTACTCTTCGATACAAACGAGCAGATTATACTAGACTATTCCTAAGGAAACGGTTGCGAGACTACGTAACAGTCACATCTAGCTATCTCGCTCGCACACATCGATACATTAATAAATACGATGACGTATGTACATCCCGTTATGTTATTTGACTAACACATCTACTCTCCACTTTAAAAAGCTTAATGAGGAATGTGGATTGTATAGGAAATATTTTTTTTTTTATTTAAATATATCAACTCCTCAATCGTGTAGAGATTGTATCCTTATTTTAAATCGAACGTTTTTCAAAAAAAATCGTAAAGAACCAGACGAAAAACCGCTAAAAACGGTTGCTTCAAACGAATAGACATTATTAGTCACGTAGACAATAAAATACAAACAATATTATCTTGAGTAAAACAAACATAACTAATTAGAAATTACGACTGGAATCCGCCAAGTTTCGATGTCGGCGCGAGTGTGGTTACTATGTCAAACATTGTGATACGGATACGGAATTTAAACGGAATTTCGAGCATTTAATTATGGGCAACAACAAATTATGCGCAACAACAAATAATGCGCAACAACAAATTAAAGAGCGGACGGTTAGCATAGTATGGACATGTGATGCGTAGAGAGAAGATGCATGTGACTAGGAGATGTATGGAAATGCTAATGCAAGGTAGAGCGGGAAGAGGTCGACCGAAGAAAACATGGATGGAGTGTGTGAATGACGATATGAGAGAGAGAGAGAGGAGTCAGTGTTGAGATGATGGCTGATAGAAGAGAATGGAAGAGAAAAATTAGCTGTGCCGACCCCACCTAGTGGGATAAGGTGGAGAAAAAGAAGAAGAATTATGCGCAGTCGCTAAAACCGAATCAAATTAAAATGATCTTTATTCATGTCGCTTTAGAGATACTCTTAAATCGTCAGACTTTTACCATCGATTCTGCATGCCATTTCACCTCTAAAGAACAATCTGCAACAAACGCAGCGCTTTATCTTTATCAATGTACTAGCGACCCGCCCTCGCTTCGCTTCGGAAATTGTAATTTATTATTGATTTCTCCACTATTTAATGGATGTTATTATACATATAAACCTTCCTCTTCAATCACTCTATCTATTAAAAAAAACCGCATCAAAATCCGTTGCGGAGTTTTAAATATTTAAGCATACATAGGGATATAGGGACAGAGAAAGCGAGCTTGTTTTATACTATATAGTGATGTACCTACATGCAAAAGGTATTTAAAATAAAAATTAGTAGTACTAACTACATTGTTGAGAGCATTCATTTTCTGAGAACACACTCTCTCTTGCTAGATCTTTACAGTAAGTGGGGAGATCCTTAAGCTACCAATAATTTAATAGAAAAAAAATGAGAACTGACCAAAGATACGTTCAGCACTAAAATCAAACCCGCTACATCGACAAAAGAATATTATGAGAAAATAAAGTTGAAGATTTTCCTAAAACAACTATAGTTAATGGTGATTCCTAATACGACAACACTGGACGATCACAATCTACAACTTTTAATTTACTACTTTTTTTTGTGCCAGCATTGTTTGTCTATGGTGTAATAAGTTTTTTTTTTGCATTACTCGTAATTTAAAGTCAGACATAAAACGATAGAGTTACAGTTGAAGAAATATACTAGACAGAAGATAATCTAGTTTTCTTATTTTATTTGTTATTGCTAAGATGGGTGGACGAGCTCGCGGCCCACCTGGTGTTAAATGGTTACCGGAGCTCATAGACATTTACAACGTAAATGCCGCCACCCACCTTGAGATATGAGTTCTAAGATCTCAGTATAGTACAACGGCTGCCCCACCCTTCAGACCGAAACGCATTACTACTTCACAGTGGAATTCGAACGCCGTTGCATCGCAAGATACGAATGCACCGGACGTCTTATCCTTTAGGCCACTACGACTCCAAGTTGATGTTGTAGCAAGAGCCGTGCTTCGCAGAATCTACCACCGGATTGGAAACGCGACCCACTGAGAAGATCCGGCGAGAAACTCAGTGGGCTGTGTCTATGGGTTAATTCGCTCGTCGAGCCCGTCGCTTGCGACGAAGGGAACGTGACCGGACGGTGACCGGTGCTTGTGGTGCCTAAAAGCACCGTTAATGGATCATAGAAGTCATAGGCATTTCGACTCCGGAAGCAATCATCTAGGCACAACCAAATTTAAAAAAAAAAAGAAAAAGATTTGGAATGATTATAATGTTCAATCTAGGAAGTAACACGAAAAAATAAACGTGCAATGAGATCCTGCTTGAATTGGCCGTAATAACTATATGAAAACTTAGATTAATACTGAATTAAATAGAACTATAAATACAATTCTTGCGGATTATTATTTACATGGACGTGAACATTTCGATTAAAAATAATTTAAAAACAAAAAAAAACTCAATTTTTTTATTTACGCCTCCAGTTTGACATACAATTAAATAGAAAATAATGCGTTATGTACGTACATATTATGTCCGAAAGATAAGCATGGCGTCGTCTTAAATAAATATTGATCGTCAAATACAATTAAAAGTTACGATACTACAACTGGAACGCAACATGTGACACGTAATCCTTGACATTGTTATTAAATATGAGAAGAGAAGAGACCGAGAAAAGAACATAATTGTCAAGAGAGAGAGAGAGAGAATGGATAAAAACAAAATGGACGACAGAACAAGAGAGAAAGAAGATCAAATAAAAGAAAGAAATGAAAATAAGAAAGGAAATAAGCATGATTGTGATTAAAGGATTAACGGGATAAGGAAAATATACAAAACAAGGAAAGAAGTTTAAAAAATATATATATTATATAAATAAAAATAATTAAAATAGTTATAGATAGCAAAGAAGAAATAAAACGAATTCAGAAGAATTCAAATAGAACAACGAATTAACAAATCCATTGGTACCTACACAATTTTGACGTTGAAAGCAGACGAGCATACGGTTTACCTGGTGGTAAGCTGACGCCTACTGTTAACCTATTTGAATTATTTTTCTTCCATTGTTTGTCATCTGCGTGGAACAAAATAAAGTATTTATTGATAAGTTCTCGTCAAAGTCTTACTAATCGTTTCGGTTTATTACCGCGAGTAGATAACAAAAATATACCTAGACTTCAAATTGAAAAAGTCTATCCGTTTTATTCGAATACAAACCCTGTAGTTATGCGGTTAAAGAATCTATTTCAAAATCACAGGCAAGTCCTACGTCCGTTTTACTTGTATAATACGAGTATAAACCACGTGAGCATTACATACCATTACCACCTAAATACCTACTTACATTATTTTTAAGAGATTTTATGACCTGGTAACTAAGACCTAAAAACATAACCAAAATGTTGCCAAACACAATAATGAGTAAAAAATTATTCGAACGTACAGCCTAATACCATAACGATTAAAAAAAAACATATTTGAAAACGTCAGTCAAGCACACCGCAGTACAAACACGAAATCAACTGTATGCATAAAAATCGCGATAAAATAAACAGATTGATAACGTTCTCGCGTAGTTTAAAAACATCACCCTAGTTTTACAAAAGCATCATACTTATATTTTATTGGTCGACGCAATTCGACGAAAAAAAAAGTAAACAGAGTTCTTTAAACTAATGCTCCACACTCATTGGCTATGCTGTTCGTGTAAAAAGATCTGCCCCTTCGCGGCTCTGACACAGTTGTTTTTTATCCGACATCCTTACGCCCGTAAAAAGCGTTATGTAACGCAAGCGCACGAGGGGACGAGCGTTATGTGTTAAAATCGAAACCATTTTCACAGACTAAATAAATAAAGATTGAGAATAATCGTGGGCCTAAGCAGTTTTCTCTAGAATACCTAATTACCTCATTAACAAAATAGTTTATTTTTTTATTGATTTATTGATTTATAACCCTGACAATAACAACAAATAAATTACCATCGACAATACGAAACTCGATCAAATTGCCCCCGTCTTTCGGATATTTATTGTCTATTAATAGTTTGTTACATCGAACAGTAACGACGGTTAGGGATGCTTATTTTTTATTATTAATGTAGCTGATAGCATAAACAATAAGTTAATAAGTCGATCCCCACCCACGGCGGCTCGCGCCGCATTGGTTCCAATGAAAATAGGCTGGGGCGCCGACAAGGACGGATGTATGCGAAAACATATCCATTCCTTTTACACTAGAAAAAGTCGCCTTCAAATACTTTATCGATGCTTCGAACATAAAAATTGACAGATTTTTTTCAGTTCATCGTGAGATGTCAAAGCGATCACATCGTCTCCTGCCGCGGCACTGAAAGGACGTAACCATTAAAAACGTTGATCATTTTTATGTGTGTTAAAAAAATAAGTGAAAGGATAAAAGTGTATAGAAACTATTCATGAAAAGTATCTTGTGCTGTGTGTAATTTTATTAGTGTGACAACAAAAGGGGAAGGTCTGTATTTAATTAGGCTATTATAATTTTTTATTTAAAACATCAAACGTAAATTATTATTTGAAACAATACCTATTGTTATTTGTTTATGAATTGAGTTTAAAATTAAATAGCCCTACGTTGTTTTCTGATTCATGTTTATTCTACATTACTTATTTTGGGAGCATCCAAAAGAGAATTAAAACCATAAGTTAAAATGAAACCAAAATCTTTTGATGAATTATATATACGTTGTGATTTTCTTTTAACTTAATATCGTTTATAAAAAAACAAATATGTGACTACATATTTGCATTAAACAGAAAGTTGAATTCCACATAAAAATTATAATTTTCGCTTAAAGCACGGACACAAAACTATTATTAGTTTAATGTTGTTATTTTGAATTACATAAGTGACTAATATTTCATCTCGAACTCTCTAAGCGCGTTAAAGGAATGAAAAAAAAAACATATTTTTTTTTACAAATATTCCGCTGTGTTTGAAAAGAGGTCAATCAGCTACCGATCTCTTTTGTGCTACGATTATATGACGGACGTGACTGCATTGTTTTCCGCATTCGCAAAACAATGCTTCGTGTGCATTTTTTACATGTTTTTATTAGCTTAGCCGACTATAGAAAAAAAAAACCAGTTCGTTATTAGTAAGCATTTTTTTTAAAAAAATAACACTTCCGCATTGATCGGTTGCGTTCATAACATTGTGTATGTCTTAGGAATGCTAAGCTGCGCCTCCCCCGCTGGCATGACGCCCGCACCCCACTCCTCCCACCCCCAAGCGTGGGGTCCGCTCCTACAACCACCGACAGTCGTAAGTCTACCTTTCAATTAAAAATACTTCACACTACCATTTGATTCGATCGTTAATTAATCATACGTTTTTTTCATAGAAAACTGAACCGATGGATGATGGAAGCTTTTCGAAAGAACAAACCAGTGGCTTTTATTCAGAGGGATTTCACAGCGCGTCACCCTCTTCTTCGAGTAAAGACTCGAACGGACATTCTCCGCGTAGCGTCGGCAGTACCAGAGAACCTTCACCGTTTTACGACGCAATGCCTTTAAAAGCTAAAGCCAACCTGGGCATGCACTTGGATTCGTTCCGCAACAGTCTACCATACAGCTTGTTAACGCCTCCGGGCTTCGAATCCCGGGCTAGCGACGCGCGCGATCACTCACCTAGCTACGAGTCTTACTCGCCCAGAACATTAGCGCCACCCGCCCACGTGTCCACGCCCTTAGGGCGCTCCGACGCCACTCCACCAAAGTCGCCACCCAGGACACCGTCGTCACCGGAGCGACGTTCGTTCGATAGGTTCCACGATTCCGGCTTCGATGGTGTGGACCACAACAAACATGACGGCGATGACGGCCGCGAAGGCTCCGGTCTTGAGGACGACTTCGACGAGGAGCCCGGCCTCCGGGTGCCCGCAGTCAACTCACACGGAAAAGTTAAAACATTCAAATGCAAACAATGCGAATTTGTAGCGGTCACGAAACTAAGCTTCTGGGAGCACAGCAAAGAGCACATTAAGCCCGAAAAGATGCTGTGCTGCCGGAAATGTCCCTTCGTCACGGAATATAAGCACCATCTAGAGTACCACATGCGGAACCACATGGGCTCGAAGCCGTTCCAGTGCAGTCAGTGCTCGTATTCATGCGTGAACAAATCGATGCTGAATTCCCACCTGAAATCCCACTCGAACGTTTACCAATACAGATGTGCGGACTGCAATTACGCAACCAAATACTGTCACTCGCTTAAGCTCCACTTGCGCAAGTACCAGCACAGTCCGGCGATGGTTCTAAATTTGGACGGAACTCCAAATCCGCTGCCGATTATTGACGTGTACGGAACACGAAGGGGGCCCAAACAGAAACCGTTGTCGAAAATATTCGAACAACAAACCGGCACGAACAACCACAGCCCTCATCCACAGCCGCCGCCACCAACGCATCCGCTTTTCGGAAATCACTTCCCAGTAAACCTGCCGTATCTACCACCGCTCTTGCCACACTCCTTCCTGTTTCCCCCTAACAACAACTACGAACAAAAGATGTCACCGAGGAGCCACGAAACGCCAACCGAGAAACCCCAAAGTGCCTCACCACAACCGTCACTGCTCCACCAGCGCTTAGCGTTCAACGAAGCGCAGTCGGAATTCAACCCGCTGTCCCCGGCAGCTAAGCCGCCACCCACATCACCGCACACCCCGACGCTCGCACGAGAAGCGTCTCCGGTCCAGAGCAACGACGACGCTCTCGACCTGACCAACACGAAGAACAGCGAAGCGGGCACGCCGCCGCCGAGCACAGAGAAACCGACGCCCGTGACGCCGACAACCGCTCTGAAGAACAGACGGAAAGGACGCGCGTTTAAGTTACAACCGGCCGCGTTGAGACTACAGCACGAAGACGAGAAAATGAGAGACGCGGAAGTATCGGACAGTGAATCGGAAGCTTCGGCGGACGCGGCCCTCGCTACGTCCACAAACAGCTACGCGTGCCAATACTGCGACATCACCTTCGGAGACCTCACCATGCACACGATCCACATGGGTTTCCACGGATACAATGACCCCTTTATGTGTAACAAGTGTGGCGAGAGGAGTGCCGACCGAGTGGCTTTCTTCATCCACTTGGGTAGGGCGCAACACGCCTAACTCATCCGCGCCTACCGCCCCTAGTCAAAGCTTTGTCGCTTACACGCGGCACATTCAAAGCTCAATGTTGAAAAGTAGATTATCGTAGTCTCGTACGTATTGTTAAGCCAAAGAATTGCTTGATAAAATAGTTTTGTAGCTCGGTTACGTGTACTGAACATAATTTTATGAATCTTTGTAGCGTCCTTTGATGTAGTTTGATTGAAAGTGTATAGTGATAATGATCGTAATATCTTTAACTTTTTTCGAACGGAATTTCGGTGAAACAAAAATCGGTGTATATTGGATTGGTTTCTGTCAAATTAAATATGATTTAGTAAAAAATACAATTGAAACTATATTTGATAGTTAAAATGAGGAAGAACAATTGACATGATTATTTTCGTAACAAAAACAGGATATTTTTAATTTATTATTATATCGCGGAAAAACATTTGTTTTTATGTAATAATTTTTTTTTTTTTTATTTAGGAATGTAATATGATAAACATTTTACTGAGGTGCCATTATTAGCAGAGATCAATTTCGAAAATTGGTGGAATGTTAGAGTAGGTATATTCCGTACGCCCTGGCTTAAAACAACAAAAAACTATTGATATTTTAAAAGTTACATTAGTTTTCTTATTGTACAAAACACGTATTATTCATATATAATAATACCGTGTGTAGTAGCATGTATGTAGCATTTAGGAAAGTGTGACCAATGCGCAAACAAGACTGTATCTTTTGTAAGTACAAAGACAATTCCGTTTTTTTTTTCTATTCTATTCTGTTAAGGGCACGTTTACTCTATCCGCAAAATTTTACCTCTACTAAATATAACTTCATTTGAAGGTGTGTTTTATTTGGATCTGGTGAAACGGGCCCTAATACTTTATTAATACGAATACTTTGCTTCGCTTTATCGGCGATGGCATATTTTGACAGAATTGACATTTGTCAAAATGAGTTTCTAAAATGCGCAAGCGTTCCTTTGTGTTTTCCTAGTTTCGATTCTGAGTATTGTTAAACAATCTGTATTATTGCATTGATCGTAAAATTGTTTAACATATCAATAAGATTGCTATCTTGCAGAAACTCACGTATAATAAAAAGAGCTAACTCGAATGGTCTAAAAACACAAAACTAGTCTTGACACTAAAACTGACCTTCTCGCCTCCAGATTATTAAATCCAAAATGACGTCAACACTCCGAGATCTTCTTTTGTTTCTTTTACCAGTTTACCAACAGAAAACCAGACCAATTCAAAATTTAAGACGGCTTCTAATTCCATAGGCTCCGTCAGAAATCGATGACGTCACACCAAATAAAACACCGTGGTATCTTATTTGACATGTCTTTTGTCTATGCGTCATTATTCATTATCGTCATCGCTGTCATACTGACGTTTTGTGTGCCAAACGAAATATGTATGTACTAAGTATCAAAGCTCAATTCTTCTTCGTCGCTTTCTTCATTGCTGAAGGTCGTGTCCCTGAAACTTGACCGTTGTCTGTCTCGTGAGCTGTTTCCATCTGGTCCGGTCCTCAGCTGCTCGAATGGTGGTTGCGACTGGCAGCCCAGTTAGAGCGGTTACTTGATCACACCAACGGCTAGGTAATCGGCCGCGGGGTCTCTTTCCTTCTACTTTGCCCGTCACAATCACTTTGTCCAAGTTATCTGACTGTCGGCGGGCAAAGCTCAATAACGGGGCACTTAAGTTTAATCGACTTCATAAAGGAGGTAGTTCTCAGTTCGGAGCGCGTTTCACCCTCTATAACTAAGAGAGCAAAACTGACACGATATACCATCGCTGTGAAGAAAACGTTCTTTGAATACTAACGGTTTAGTTACCTATTAGCACTAATCGTAAGAGAATTTACAAAGAATAATAATAGAAACATTAAGTGAAATTATTTGTATTATACGCGTGTAAATTTAGAAAAAACGAGTCAGAATATTTTATTGAGAAAAAAAAGAGGTTTTTTTTTATTTATTTTTTATTAATATTATAATTATTTATTTATCCTCCTCGTCTTAAGTTAAGCTGTGTTTTGTGTAGTTACGGAATTTATGAAATTCTCAAGATTTAATTTATAACGACATGTAATAAATAATAAAGCGTAATAAGATAATATTATTGTAATCGGTGGACCGGATCGAAATTATCGATTGAAGTAGGTATTTGTTTGTGTGCTGAGTACGTAATAAAGGAAATTGTAATTGAACAAATAATTTGTTTTTCTTTCTTTTTCTTAAACGAAGCTTACCAATAAATCCAAAAGGACTTAACCCTAAAGAATAACATTCGCGGCTATCCTACCCATCCAACCCAAAAGGAAACACGGTACATTTTTGATAGAACCCCGTTAATTTCACAGATTATCCTATCTCATTGTCCACTTATAATCATTGGGGTTAGAGAGAGATAGAGAGTCACAGACCGACCCGTGCATTATTCATATAATCTATACTAATATTATAAAGCTGAAGACTTTGTTTGTTTGAACGCGCTAATCTCAGGAACTACTGTTCCGATTTGAAAAATTCTTTCAATGTTAGATAGCCCATTTATCGAGGAAGGCTATAGGCTATATAACATCACGCTAAAACCAATACAAGCGGAGCACCAATAAAGAATATTTCAAAATCGGGTTTTTTCCCTTTTGAGAGCTTCCGCTGCGTGCGCTGCAGAAACGGTTAAAGTTTCGCTAAAATAATGTATGACCGAATTGTTCCCCTTTAAAAGATCTAAAAAAAGTCTGCGACAGCATATGTCTATATGTTAATGTTGGCTCACTATAACGTTTTTTCTGCTAACCAAATTTGTTCTAAAATAAAGCATTATTTGTGAACTATTCCACGCGGACGAAGTCGTGGGCAAAAGCTAGTAATATATATGTCGGCGGCGGCGGTGGGGATAGCTAAGCGGTAGTTTCCGTCATCACTCGTATTTGGTTGAACTCCGTTTATAAAAAGTCAATAAAACCTTTTCAATAATAATTATTGAAACTCAACACACACAACTTTCACAATGACAGGATAAACCAACAGTTTCGTTGCACATACCGACAGACCGACTGACTGACTGACTGACTGACTGACTGCCAGAGACTCACTGACTGAGACGCACGGAATGACTGTCTGACACGGAATGCCACGACTCTGTCCACGTACCGCCATTTTATACAGTGGCGTTACGGAGTCTACCCTTCATTTTGTGATATTTATCAAAACACATTTCATCATTTAAAATAATAATCAAAACCACCGTCTTAATATTATTAAAAGTTGTTATCCACGACAACTAAAAGTCGTTATCCACGACATATATAATAATAAATTAACTCTAACTGCCATGTAGGTCACCGGTGCCCTACGCGGCGCACTCAAGTAATTATTTCGATTTCTGTTATTAAGGCCTCGGAATATCTAATTAACTGGCAAAGAGGAATCCGAAGATACTGAGTATGAATCTATTTCTAAGGGATCTAAAAAACTAAAAAGATGTGTGGTGTCGTGGGACACCGGATAGGAACGAAGTACCTTATTATAAAAATGTCGATTTTAAGTTCTATTCGAGGTATAAAGAAAATAAAACTGGAGGTTTCGCAACAACCCACGGTCATTCAGTAACATGCGAACTTATTGTGGTACAGTTCATTCACGGTTGTTTGCTTAAGAGATAGTGTATTGCGCAAACGAAAGCTCTGAGATCGTGGTCAATGAATGATAAAAAAATATGTTATTTTTTGTACGATATTACAATGTTAAGTCGTACACTGTGTGCATTACTAATAAAAATCTTACGTTACGGACCTTTTTTTCCCGGTTAGGGTACCCCTCCGCATCGTCCCATAAGGAACTTTGTTCCAAAAACTACATTTACAAAAACAAAAGAAGGCAACCTTAAGCTATCCAGGTGTTTAGTAACAGATATCGACATAATTACTTTAGTGCGCCGCGTAGGGCACCGGTGACCTACACGGCAGTCAAAGGCTTAAGCAAAATATTCCGTGTGAAGCAACTGATTCTCGTCTCGCAGTCAAAATATTCTACATTTAAAATTCTAGACTAGTTTAAATGTCAAAGAACATATCAACGTAACGATGTCTTAAAAAGCATTAAATTTCGGAATCAAAAATAGTCAAAATAATAAAAACAAAAAAATATAATGTTTTTCCTCTCGCATAAAAATATTTGTAGCTCAAAACTCGACAGCGTTATTGAAATTATAATATATTATTCATATTTATTCGGTTTTTTTACGCGCATGCTCAAAGATCACGCAACAGTCGTCATTTTTATAAAAAAAAAACATTAAAACATTGTTCGTACTTACATGTTAATTCTCAATTTTTTTTTTAAATGAGTAGATAGAAATGCAGTTAATAAATAGTGGTTCCTCGATATTTATTATTAATCAAATTCTAGTATTTCCTAATAATTTATACTGGGTTACTGGGGCCCATAGACATCTACTACGTAAACGCCGCCACCCACCTTGAGATATAAGTTCTCAGTATAGTTACAACGGCTGCCCCGCCCTTCAAACCGAAATGCATTACTGCTTCACGGCAGAAATAGGCAGGGTAGTGGTACCTACCCGTTCGGACGCGCAAGAGTTCCTACCACCAGTAAGCGGCGAGCGCACTACAACGTATTATTGTTTTACGTGTATGCATATATATAACAACATTTTCTCCTGTGTTGATACGTGTCACAAACACGTGATATGCGTTTTACACGAAAAATTAATCGCATTCAGATCCCGAATACCAAATCGGGGAGTGAAAGGCTATTTGGTTTAAGCGGCATTTCGCTTAATACGCGACATTTATCTCTGCCATTAAAGGTACGTTTTATTTGGTATTAGCTGTTGATGCTAATGTTTGATGTTTTTAATTGAACTTCAATTAAGTTTATTCCATTCAAACAGCTGAAGAAGTCTTCTGTTATGGTAATTTTTCGCAAGAAAAAAATAATCTGGTGATGTTGGAAATTTTTTTATTGCCCTTGTAGGCAGACGAGCATACGGCCCACCTGATGGTGAGTGGTTACCGTCGCCCATGGACTTCAGCAATGCCAGGGGCAGAACCAAGCCGCTGCCTTCCGTTCCCGATCAAAGTAAGTGTCACAGATGTATCCAGACACATGAAGTGGCGTGTGTAACCGCCGTATACCCGCTCCATAGCTCGCTGAGTAACTTTTAGTTGGTGGACTAGCCGCACGGTCAGCGTCCACGTTTCGGCTCCCTAGGTAAGCACGGGTAGGACGCACTGATTATAGACCTTTGTCTTCAGACATTGTGGTATGGGCGACGAAAAGACCTGACGAAGCTTCCCGAACGCTACCCAGCCCAACTGAATCCTTCTGGTCACTTCCTTCTCAAAGTTGTTTCTACCTAGTTGTAGGGTCTGTCCCAGGTAGACATACCCTTGAACAACTTCGAGAGGTGTACCATCAACATCG